CCGGGCTGGGGATTCGAACCCGCCACCTCAGGTGTACGTGGCTGGCGCCTTAGCCGGTTGAGCCACAAGCGCCGAGCCCACAATTAAATTTTAAATCAGCACTAGAAACGAAGTTTAAGAGTTCTTAAAAATTTCAGCCAACTTTTAAGTACTGATGTATTAAACATGTAATAACTGCAAAATACTCAGAACTGAACAAAAACGAGAACGTCATATCAAACTGCAGGGCAGTTAAACTAGTATGTCAAAACACAAAAGAGAATGAAATGAAGCCTAAGGAAGAGCTAGAAAGGATGGAAAGAAGAGTGCTCGGGTCCTAGGAGCTTGGGCAGGCACAAGAAGGCTCCATGGTCTGCAGTGCCCGGCACCACTGCACCCACCCCAGCCGAGAATGGAAGGGGACACAGTAGAGAGTGAAGAAGGGGAAGAACTTTGAAAGGAGATAAACCAGGCAAGGCTCAAAGAAAAATAAAGGGAACACTTACCTCAGTATTAGGAACAAAAAAGGAACTCTAACTACAGAAAATTTGCTTGCTGTTTAAATCATAATGTGCTATTGTTAACAATTTTATGCCAATAAACTTGGAAACTTACATATATATGAATTTTTTGTCAAATTACATAAATAGCAAAATAACCAAAACCTGCTCAAAAGAGTAATCCAGTAGGCATTCTTAGAAGAGTCCCACCACAGAAGGTATCAGACACAGTTTTCTAGATAAGTTTTGCCAAACCTTCAAGAATAGAAAATATTGGGGTGGTCCCTGTCGCTTAAAGGAGTAGGGTGGCTCCATATGCCGGAGGTGGTGGGTTCAAACCCAGCCCCAGCCATAAAAGAATAGAAAATCTTAAAATGTGGCAGAGAATCATCTAGAGGCTAGCGGGCATGAGGGCAATTTACTAAGCTTATTATATGAGGGTGGTCCAGAGACCTTTACAGGCAAATCTCAGCAAATCTTCAAGGAACAATCTCATATGAAGTATTTCAGAGAATAGGGAGGGGGGGAAATTGCTAGTTCACATTATGAGGTCAGCCTGGTGGGACCAAGTATTGGCAAGTGGGCGCTATGCTGGAATCAGGGTTACGGACTGGCATCTGACCTGAGGACTCACTGCGTCCTGTAGTGCCTACAGGTGGCTAACAGGAGGGTCTGCAGTGTGGGCACATGCAGGGCACTTAGCCTGGTCCTTGGTGAACAGACATGAAAAAAAGTTCCGTGTGCTGTCAAGGGGAACACTGGCGGATGACCAAATTGGAATGTAGTTTAACTGCTAGGAATCTATCCTGAGACACTAAGTGCCTGGGTTCAAGATGTGTAAGAATTTATAGTATGTGGCTGAATGCCTGTAGTCCCAGCAACTCAGGAGGGAGGCTGAGGCAGGAGGATCACTTGAGCCCAGGAATTCAAGACCATCCTGGGCAACATATTGAGACCCTGTCTTAAAAATAAAGTAAATTTGAAGTTTTAATTAAATTGGCTGAGCGAGGTGGCTCGTGCCTGTAATCCTAGCACTCTGGGAGACCAAAGCAAGAGGATTGCCTGAGCTCAGTAGTTTGAGACCAGCCTGAGCCCCAGAGTAAGACTCTGTCTCTGCTAAAAATAGAAAAACTAGTTGGGTATTGTGGTGGGCACCTGTGGAGGCTGAGATAAGAGGATTGCTCGAGCCCACAAGTTTGGGATCTCTGTAGGCTGTGACACCATGGCCCTCTACCCAGGGCAATAGGGTGAGACTCTCCAAAAACCAAAAAAAATTAAACAAAATGAAAATCGTCTGTCCACTGACAGAAGAAAAGCTTGTGATGTGTTTGTACATTGGCATTTTATGCAGCAATGGAAATTAGTAACTATCAAATGGGTGCGTCTCACAAGTGTAACGTGGAGCAGAGAAGGCAAGTGCAGTGCGTGTGTGGGTCACAGTCTGCAGGGCGGGAGGTGCTGCTGGCGGCACTCGACGGAGTAGCAGGAATGGAGAAGTGTGTGGGGAGAGTAAAGTCTGTGTCTGCACTGGCCCCAGGGGCAGGAAGCAGAAGGACAGAGTCTAAAAGACAAAGGGGATCATTATTTCCAAATATTTTCTTTTAAAAACTGAAACTTTGAACAAAGGTTAATGAGAAGTAAAACAATAAACCTAAAAGGACAAAAGGGGAGTGCACTGGAGGTTCTTTTTTGTATGGATATTTGAGATGTTATGCATCTAAGACAGTCCATCAGGGGCTTTGGTGACTGAGTGGGGACGGGGCCCGCGGTGGCTTTGCTGCCATGGTGACACTGACTGTTCTTAGCTGACTTTCTGATCCAAGCTTATAAACTTATGATTCAGTTGTTTTATAGTTATCTTTATTGCCTGTGCCCCTCACCTCTTGGATGGTCTCTTAGGAGGCTGCCTTGTTCCTTTGGATGGTGGCCACTAGTCGTGACCTCTCAACTCCCCAGCTCTCTGCCTTGAGGGTCGGTGTGTTTATGCTGGGAGACTGTCAAGTGCCTGTCACCCAGTTTGGCTTTAGGATTCTATGTCCATCAAGATTTTTGTCTTGACCTCAGATAGCACCAGCAGTACTGAAGACCTCTTCAGGTGAAGCAGAATTGCCAGTGAAGAGAGGCTCACAGGCCGGGGAGGGGTGTGACAGGTAGCCCTGGCCCAGACAGAATGCTAGCCAGCTTAGCTTGGGTTGTTAGTACTGGTTGAATTTTACTTTGCCACTAAACAACCAAGTAAATGTATTAGTCATTTTAAAAGTTTCAGAATATAGTAGCCTCTGGCCAAGCCTCAGCTTGGCTGCCTGGTCTCCTGCTTGCTCTGCCCTGCTGTCCCCTGGCCATATCTAACGAGATGACTATTTGCTGAAGGTTGGGAAGAGTGGAAACATTCCAGCAGGCACGACTGTGGACACGAAGATCACCCACCCGACAGAGTTCGATTTTTACCTGTGCAGTCACGCAGGCATCCAGGTGAGCGCAGAGGGGCCCCTTTGGACAGAGTCCCAGACACCCACGGTGCTGTGCACACCCTTAGCCCTGGGCAGCATGCGGGCAGAGTGAGCAGCATAGCTGGGGCCCCAGTGAGGACTGATAGAAGGGTAAACAGAGAATGGGGAGATTCCAGGCTGTCCCTGGCACTGGGAAGGAAGGAGGCCCCAGTGTTGTGGTGTATGGTGGGGGTGCTCAGCCCTGGCCTCCTGAGGAGGCCTCAGTTAAGATGAGGCCCTTGAAGTGGCAGTCTGTGCCAAGGCCAGGGCACTTTGGTGGGAAGGGGGGTATTGTGGGGCTAGAGCCTAGTGAGCTAGAAGTTGAGATCTGAGCAGGAACGAGACCATTAGGGCTGCCACAGGGAGTGGTGGCAGGCAGGGGACCCCCCCAGGAAGCTTGTGCAGGTAGAGGGACACCAAGGGCTGACTCACATCCATTCAGGCAAACTTGGTGTGGTCAGCATGATTGCCGGGTGAGGCCAGGCTTTAGCCAGGCACTGGACATATGGAGGGGTTACTGTGTGGCTAGTTGTCACCTAAAGGCTCTCCTGGGCTCATAGTGAAGAGACCACATCTGGCCAAGGCTACTCCACCTCAGCACTGCCACAGGACCCCATTGTAGGAATTGAGCTGCTGGGCTTTGTACAGCCCAGAGACTCCTCGAGATGAGAGGATCCTTGGGTACATGGCCCTGCCTTCATAGGGGTCTCTTGGTTATTAAAAAGTGAGAAAGACTTAAATACCCCTCCCTGGAGGATTTTGTTCTCCAGTTAAGAGCATCTGTGAGCTTTGTATGGACTCTTAGAATTCCACTGAAATGCCGGAACCCCACATCATTGATGTGGCCCACGGAGAGGCTTGGAGCCATATCCAGCCCAACGGCTTTCCGTGCCACCAGAAAGATGAGAATGATGTTTGCATTTTGGAAGGGTATTAAAAAGAAAGAACACACAGCCTCAAGCTGCAAGGTTTTTACATCACTTGTTGGTGGACAATGTCCATGCCAGTGTGAGGTTGTCTGCTCCATCTGCTCCCTGGCTTCCCTCCTGGAAGCAGAGCCCTTGTCCTCCAGGGCATCCTGGGCAAACCCTTCTCCCCGAGTTTTCTGCCCAGGAACTTTTGGATGGGGGACTTCTCTGATATGTTTAAGGATGGGCCCGGGAGGTATCCTCAGCGACCCACATGGACAGATACCTTCATTGCCCCCGGCCCATGACCACCACCAGTTGAACACCAGGAAGTGGGTGCCAGTGCCTGGGAGTGTCCATCAGGGAGCAAGGACATTTTGTCTCCTCCTAGTACCAGTGGCCTCGGTGCAGGGTCAGACATGGGACAGGCGGCAGTACTGGGCCAGGCAAAGTAGGAGTGAGCAGGGCTCCTCAGGAGGAGCTGCCTCTGCAGTGGGCCTTGGAGGCCTGACAGGCTAACCAGCTCCTGCTGTACTCATGCAGTGCTCACGTGCAGACCCCACCGTGAGATTTTGCTGTTAGCACATAACTTATGTTGGAGAATTTTCTCCTTGCCATTAGTAAATCAAACATTGTAGGCTCAGCACCTGTAGCTCAGTGGTTACAGCGCCGGCCACAAACATCAGGGCTGGTGGGTTCGAACCCAGCCCAGGCCTGATAAGCAACAACAACAAAAATAGCTGAGGGCGGCACCTGTGGCTCAGTGGGTCGGGCACTGGCCCCATATACTGAGGGTGGCAGGTTCGAACCCGGCCTGGGGCCAAATTGCAACAAAAAAATAGCCGGGTATTCTGGCAGGTGCCTATAATCACGGCTACTTGAGAGGCCGAGGCAAGAGAATTGCTTAAGCCCAGGAACTGGAGGTTACATTGAGCTATAACGCCACAGCACTCTACCAAAGGTGACATAGTAGACAACTCCTCAAAATAAATAATAAATAAATAAAACTGGCTCAGTGCCTGTGGCTCAAGTGGCTAGGGCACCAGCCACATACACCTAAGGTGGCAGGTTCAAATCCAGGTTGGGCCCACCAAACAACGACGGCTGCAACCAAAAATAAATAAATAAATAAAATATTGTAGTAGACCTGGTATGTACAGATACGCTGCCCTTGATGGAGCCATTTTTTAATGTTGCTTTATCTCTGGATATGTCTGTGTGTGAGTAAACGTGTACACAGTTATATTTTACCAACAGGGAGCCGTTTAACATACATGGCTCTGATGCATCTTTGGTGATGTAAATGTCTTCTCTTCCAAGGCCTCAGGGCAGGGCTTGCTGTCTGATGCTCTGATCTACTTTTAGGGGACAAGCAGGCCTTCGCACTATCACGTCCTTTGGGATGACAATCGTTTCTCTTCCGATGAGCTGCAGATTCTAACCTACCAGCTGTGTCACACCTACGTGCGCTGCACACGCTCTGTGTCCATCCCCGCGCCAGCATACTACGCTCACCTGGTGGCCTTCCGGGCCAGGTACCACCTGGTAGATAAGGAGCATGACAGGTGAGTGGCATGCCTGCCCTCAAGGTCCTGGCTGGGCTGTTTCTGACACAAGCACTGACTCCTGGTCTTCTCGAAGAGCAAGCAGCAGGGCCACAGGGCTAGAGCTCACTGTGACACAGACAGCCCTGCCTGCCAGCATCTGCCGGGCCACTTGTTGGCTGTGTGACTGTCAGCAGGCTGCTCTTCCCTCCCCAAATGCCCTCTGTGTTACCCTAAGGTAGTTCTTCACATGCTGCCTTGTGGTGTGAGAAAGCGGCATGTTCTCACGCTCCCCTGTCTCTGTCCCTGCAGTGCTGAAGGAAGCCATACCTCTGGGCAGAGTAACGGGCGAGACCACCAAGCACTGGCCAAGGCGGTCCAGGTTCATCAGGACACTCTGCGCACTATGTACTTTGCTTGACATGTTTTAGTGTTTAGCGATTGTGTACCGAGTTGGATTCACATGAGACCAGCTACACTCAGACCAACTGATGGCCAGCCCTTCCGTGACAGCCAGCATCGAACATGAGACATCATTGGTTTTCTTAGATTCTCCATTTTCCAGAATGCCTTCCGTCCCAGATTTCAAACTTGGATTTTGAACTGCAGACCTGTATGAGACCCCAATGTCGTAGGAAATATGGTTTGCCAAAATCTATAAGCTGCTTATTAAAATAGAGTCCCATGTTTCCTGAAAATCTCCTAAAACCAGTCTATGAACTCAGGGCTTTAAAACATTTTTAATTTATTTGGTCATTCAATTTACTTATTTTTAACACATGATTCTCTATGAAATTGATGGGCTCAAACTAGCTATGAAGGTTCTCTGAGAGTAAAAGCAACATGAAAACACAATTGTGGTTTTAAAGCCTTGAACATTCTGATGTTGTCACTAAAGTTGATTTCCAGATGATGCTTGTGTGCTCCTGACATGGCTCACACAAGCTCTTTGGGACAGAGGGCAGGTGGCCGTGCTGAGGCGTCTGCAGGTGTCTTGCTCTGCTGCTGCTGGCCTCGCACACAGCCTGGGCTAAGGGGCAGTGGCAGGAGGTGGCCCTGTGTGTTTACAGCATTTACAGGTCCAGAGAGATTGGCAGACAAGTGCCATTTTAATAAAAATTTATTTAAAAAAAGAAAAAAGACAATATACCGACAGTCTAATCATAAGATTTGTCCTATAGGACTGTGACATTTATTTTCCAAAGTTTCTAAAGAATACGGGTCTGTGGTGATAAATACAGTACAATCCTTTTTCACTGTTAATGTCTTTAATGTAAGAGAAAAATATATATATATCTGGTTTGCAGTATTAATGTGATAGATAGATGCTGTTTTTCATTTACTTGACTACGGGGTGCTTCTTGTGATCTGTTTGGCATATTAAGAGTGTTTGGCGCCTGCAGAGTGGACCACGCCTGCGGTTCTTAGTGCTCAAGTACCAGAATATGCAACTGACTTAATGTGACAGCGACCGCCTCCCCCGGTGTAGATGTATAGCCTATACCTTCCAGAGGGACGAGTGTGCTCACCACAGTTGCTCGCCCCTCCCACCTCCCCATCCCCATCCCATGTTCTCAGTTGGTGAAGCACAAATGGAATTTATTCTTCTGTTGCTGGGAGCCAGGTTCGCGCATGGCAGGGTGCCTATCACAGGACTTGAGCACGGGCGACCGTCTGTGCAGCTCCTGTCGGGTGTGAGGCTGGCTGCCTGCAGAGCCCCTGCAGGGCATGGCCATGCTGCTGGCATCTGCACTGGGGGCCCTCAGGGTGGGTATGCCAATCTGAGAGCCATCACGGGCAGTTCTAAAGGATGACAACAGACAGCTCTATGATGAGTGGGCTTTTCGTCCTTGTACACAACTTTGGTAAGAATCAAATCCATGTTTCATGTAGAGATTGCGGGAAGGGGCTGGCCCTTCCCTAGGGCTGCTTCATGCTCTGTAGGTTTTGTCCCTCCTGCCACATCCCCTCCCCAGCCCTAGTGACATTTACCTCTGGCACTGCAGTGGGGTAAGGCCCAGTGGCGGGCCCCATGCAGAGTGAATGCCCACCTCTGCCTTCTTGTTGACCTGCTTTGCAGGTGGCGGGAGGGATGGTCAGTCCAGCTGCAAGAGCCCTGGGCACTCTGCCTGGATTCAAGGCAGTGACAAAGGGATGGCAGTTATTGTGAAGATTCACACTTGGAGCTCTGTGTGTGTGTGTACACGTGTGCGTGTGTTTGGGTGTGCGCAGGTGTCGTCTTAATGGCATTAGTCTCTTCTTGCTGTATCTTTTTTTAATCTTTTGAAGTGACAGAAGCCTCTGCTCTAAGAAACGTTGCAATTCCCTGTCGTTTTATTAGCAAGTGGCACTTTCTTCTCTTTTCAGAAGGATTCAAGTATACTCTTAGCTTAAATTACCAGCCGGATTCAAGCTAAAAGAGGGAATCTTTTGACTAACGAAGTTTTAAAATCTAAAATTAGGTTAGTTTTCAGCCATTTTTAGAGTCATCTGGAACATGTATCTCAAAGGTGTGTTTCTGCCATGGCAGTGCGGTTTCAGTTGTCTGGGGAATGGTGGTTCTTACCATACAGATTGGCAGGCCTGCCGCAAACCTCTTTAATAGATTGTCCAAGGCTTGGGCATAGCACCTGTGTTTTAAAAGATCACTGTAACCCTGGGCTTCCTGATCTGGGGCTTTCCCCAGTACTGAGGGGCCAGCCAGGGGGACTCCTCAGCCACGTAGGCAGGTTTTCAAAGTTGATACCCAGAAAAGAGTTCATGCTGGCAGAAAATTGGACCTATAAAAATTTTTTGTCCTTTTGAAGAAAAATTTTCTTTTTAGTGGGCCAAAGTACTTTTAGAAGGGTACTTTTATATAGCCCCATGCTTACTTTATAAAACTTTTAATACTAAAAATGTTACCATAGACCAAATGTATCGAGTTGGGTCGGCTGCATACCTTTGTACATGTCTGATGATTCAGAATTTAAATGGCTGTAGTTACAATTTCTCAGGTAAACAATTGTTTTCCCAAATTTCTACCAATCCCTCCATTATTAGGATGAATTTTGAGACAGCTTAAAATCTCAAAGTACAGTACGCTAAGTCCCAGCCTTGTTCACCAGGAAGCCAGTTCTGCCAAGCCAGAGCAGGGGTCCAAGGCAGCACCCTCTCTGCGCCTTCACTGCTTCCCCAGGGCACCGGGCCCATTCAGACTAGCGGGTGCCACTTGCTGGCTTTGTCCCCACCCCACTGTTAAGTAAGGTGTGCCTTGCTTTAAGCAAACTGAATGTGAAAATTATGACGTAGAAATCTGGGTTTATTTGAAAGAAAAACTGGGATTTATCTCTTTAGGAGAGGTCTCCCGATTAGATTCCTATACTGGACTTTTCCTAATATATTTTAAAATATTAGCTTTTTAAAAACCATTGAGGTACTCCCATCCCTTCATCACTATCTAGTACATTCTACAAGTTCTAATAAGTGATTCAAGAAACCCAGGGGAGCCATTTGAAGTTGTCATTCTGTATAAGAGCCCTTTGGTACTGCAAAGATGCCACACTCTGTTATCAATGTATCATAAGCTCGCATTTTCCTAATTTACATACATTTTGTAAAACTGGGCATAACCGTACTTTCAGAAAGGGATTGTTTTATTTGGGTTTTGGTTTTGTTTCAAGTACTTACTTCTGATCCTACATTTGAGGGCCTGCTTTTTCTTTTCAGGAGTGTGTGGCTTTTGGCAGTGTCCTCACACTCTGTTGCGTGGACTGGCCACGAGGGAGCTGCTGGCAGCAGGGGGCTCCGCTGTTTGAGGCTGGCCTGCACACTGCTCTACTCACGTTCCCTGTGATCAGATGGTCACTAGAAAGGACAGTTTATGTTCAGCTCCTATATGGGGTTGAGGGATGGTTTATTATTGTTGTTATATGTTATTTTTATTGTTGTTAAATGCAAATGTTGCTATTTATTTTTTGGCCCCTGCTCTGGTTTGATTTGGCCGCTGTGGATACTCTGGTGCATGTGATTCCTAACGGATATGATAGAAGTTATTTTCTGCAACTTTTATAAATTCCCTAATGTTCACCTTCAAGTTTGCCGGATGATTTATTTTTGAAAGCCACAAATGTAATTTTTCTGGATGAATTGTTTTTCTTAAATATGCAGCAATGTAATTTTACATTGATCTGCAGGGTGATTTAAATTTTATTTTTACAAGGCAGTTTTTCAGTCAAATTATATATTTGATACAATATGTTAAGGATGACCAGCCAAGTGTCATGCGGTGGGGACACCACCAGAATGTCTCGCGGGGCCTTTAGGGGCTGGGATGCTCCTCTTGGTTGCTTGTCATGGTAGCACTTGACATGTTTCATGAGCCTGCAGGAACTGGATGGATGGAGTCCTCCAACCTGACTTGACCTGTTGGATAGCTGAAAGGATTTTTCATGGGCATTTTCCTACACTAAACTAAGGCAGTTCCATTAGGAGGAGCTTTAGAAGTTGACATAGTCCAGACAGTGGACAATCCCAGTGGCCCAGACAAGCCATAAGAAATTTTCCTGTGACCTCTCTGACTCATCTCTCACGCTCATGAGAAAAGGAATGTACAATAAATAGAAACGAAAACTTCCTCAGTGTTCATACGCCTCACTTGCAAATTGCAAGTGTATTATTTATATTTTAAGCCCTTCCCCAAAGCAACCAAGAATATTCTTTCTAGCTGCGTGCCAGCAGTTCATCTGCTGTGGCGTTTTCCAGTGTAGACTTAGTGCACGTGTGACTTTGTAATGGAGGTGTCCATGTTACACACACACATGCGGACTCGTTTTTGTAAGGAAAATTTTCAACTCAAAATAATTGCACTGATTTTTTGACAACTTCTTTTTATTATGTCCAACTTTGCATCTGCTGTACTTGTTGAAATGATTGTAAATAGATTTATGGTTGAAGTGATGGTGTGAACACAATGTGTCGCTCTCTTCTCGTGGCACTTCCTGTGCCACAGTGCTGCCTGTTAGAGCCGTGCGGACTCCATTCTGTTCTTGTCTTTAGCCTGATGTCTGTTGACCGTTCATGAAGAACAAAGTAGCCTCATTTTCTTGTTTTTCTGAAAGGACATTTTCAATTTATTAAAAGCAGAATGTGCTCTCTTGATATCTGAAGATTTTATTTTAAAAGGAATAATTGTAAATCTTTTGAACACTTTTAGGTCTGTTTGACTCCTTGTTTGCCATGGCTCCCTGAAGTTTTTTCCGGTTCCGTCCAGGCTTTGACGGTTTGGATAAGGGGCGGCCATGTGCCCGTGTTACTAGAACATAATGGCCTCCTTTGCGTCTCTGCTCAGAAGTCACAAGCCAGGAGGTGTCAAGACCATCCTATCTGGCTGCACCCATAGATGCCAGAGAGACTGGAGGCACAGTGCTGTTCTCGTGTTCTTGTGATGTTGTGGGGCTGGGAGTGCCATGTGCAAGTCTGTCTGTGGTCAGGCTCCCCAGGGTCACAGAAAGGAAGTTTTGAACCCAGACCTGTCTTGTGTGTCAGTGTCACGTCTGTGCTGTGGCATGTGCCCTACTCATGCTTCTTTGGATGTGTTTTGCCATTTTATTGTCTAAAGCGAATGTATTGGCTTAGCCAAATCACTACAGAAGGTGGTTTCTAAATACCTTTTTGTTTAAAAACTGATGCAGATAAGGCTACCTCTGAATTCTCAATAGATTCATCATGTCTGCTCTTAAGCATAGCTGTCCACACTGAAAATAGCCAAAATTGTTGCCTGAATAAACTGAATTGTGAACATCTCTTTGTTCAGTTATGGCTTGAAAATTTGTGTGCCAGCCTGTGAGCTGTGGGCAGCGCCCTCTTCCTCCTCTGCTGTGTCAGGTGGACGAGGGACTCCTCAGCGCTGCCCAGCTCCGGGACCCTAGGATTCTGAGAGGCCAGCACAAATGAAATGGGAGGGCCTTTCCGCATGGGACAGCACCCTGTCCTCTCAGGTCAGCAGGAGCATCTCTACGCAGGGCTGCGTGTGGCAGAACCTTAAACAGCCTGTGTCCTGCCTGGCTTTTCCCTTTCCTGTTTAATAGAAGAAAGCACTTTTGGGTTTTTTTCTTTCTTTCTTTCTTTTTTTTTTGCTTTACCTGGGAATGGGTTGGAAGTGGCTTCCTCTGGTCTCTTCTCCCTTTTTATACGCTCTGTAAAATCACGAAGGTGCTTCAACACCAACTCTTGTACAAGTAGTATGTTTTAAATAGTCAGCGTGGCTTTAGAAGACACGCAGATTTGTTAGACCTTTGACTTTAGGGCTTTGAATTACTATCACTCCCCACTAAAAATGAACTGAGGGTTGAAAGTGAAGCATTCTGTTCAAATCCAGGGCCCTTTGAAAAGGACATAAGGTCCACAGCTGGCGTCCTGAAGCAGACCCTGCCACTAGGGGCACTGCAGATGCCTGACACTGACTCCTAGGAAGTCTGTCCTGGGCAAGCTGATGACTCTGAACACTCTCCCTGTAATTAACCACTTTGCTGTCAGAAATGTCACCCCCGCACACTGTACTGTGTACCGTGACCCCTGGCCGCCTCCATTCTCTGTAGGCCCCTTGTGTCCTCTCATCTTCAGAAGGTTCACATTCTCTCCAAAGCACCTCGGTTGGTTGACTCCTGAATTACAGACGTCTAGGGTTCTGGAGGAAAGTCTGTTCTCATGCTGGATGATCATCAGACATTGACTGGCCCAGAGGGGTTCAGCACATCATTACCTGGAAGGAATTGCCTTTAACTACTGTTTGGGTTTTGATGCTTTTTATGCTACATAGCATGCTTTAATTTAGAAAGAGCTAAGTGTCCTTTGCAGTCTTTCTAAGAATGTCTTGTAACTCTGCCATCATGCTGTTCTGCACATACAGACCACCCACGACGTATGGCCATTCAGGGTGGGTGCCCCCCGCCCCTCACTGCTTGGGTCCACTGGGTTGCTCTCGGGTTTCCAGCCAGAACCCGCCCAGGCTGTTGGAGAGGACGCTGCTCTCCTCCCTTCGGGGCTTTGAGCTTTGCACTCAGCTCTGCCTGTAAGCTTTTTACGCACATCTGCAGAAGACCCAGGTGGGCCCTTCTCATCATGCCTGCTTTTGTGAAAGATTGTCAAAGTAGGAGAACTGAAGATTCCTGGTGCTCTGGTGACACTTCCCTGTCTTATTGGCTGATGTGGCAAATTTCGATGTGTTAAGTTCTTAAGATGCCCCTGATGGCATGACTGAAGGGTTAAGGCCAATCCCCTTTGGGGGACAGTGAGAGGAGGCTGAGTTATCGCCTACTTTAAAACTTCCTTGGATTAAGTAGTTCAGAGTTAAAGCTAAAACACCAAATATTAACTCTTCCCCAAGTGTGTCCAGGAACTAGACTTTGAGGTCGTCCTCATTCAGTTCTTCCTACAGCTTCAAAGTCAGTAAAATTTGTGAGTTTATCCCTAGAATATACCTTGCCACTGGCCGGGAGGCGCAATGCAGATGGCTTACCAGGTCCAGGTGCTCGTGTGCGGAACCTGGGGCTCCTTCTTGGAACTCTGGAGATAGTGTGCACAATCTCGAGGGATGGGAGAGGGCAGGCCCCCTGTCCCAAGAAGCAGGTGGTGCCCGGGCCTTCCGGGGGTCTTGAGGGTGCCAGCCTGATTGTGTTCTGGAAGACCCAGTCTCAGACTCTGTGCCTTTAAAGTCCGGTCCTCACTGTCCTTTCAGAATCATGTCAGGCTGCATCTTTGCCGGGAGGTAAGCCTGTGCCATTCCCAGGTCAGTCGTTGCCTCCTGCCTTGGAAGCTCCTACCCTCTGCTCTTCAGCGAACTCGCGCTGTCGTGCACAGTCTAACCCACGGGTGATGCACTCGGTCTTACTGCAAAAAAATACTCAGTTCCAGTCACATCCTGACCAGTCCACCTCTGCTGGGATGTCAGGAGGTTGGTGCACAACCCAACTCTTAGGCAGTGGCCATGACCATCAGCAAAACCTGTTGGTTTTGTTCTCATAGTCACTCAACAAGAATATTATTGTAATGGAAGTAGATGTTTTAAAAGGAATTGGAATCATGTCTTTGTAAAATGCTTGTGAAGTCCTCAGACGTAAGGTGCTACTCAGTTCTCCCTTCCTTATTTTAGAATGCTTGTCGTTATTGCCGTTTTGTGACTTGGGGAAACTGCTTGCTTAGGTGTGGTGTCACCTCGAGCTGTGCACACAGGATTCCAGTTGTGATAGACCTAACATGCAATTGTTCTTTCTTTTTTCAAGCCAGGTATTGAGCAGTTTTTTGGCCAACACCCTTCCCTGTTAAGGGTGGTTTTGTTGGTTTTAAGTGGAAAATATACCCAGTACACTCATTTTTAAATCTATAGAAGACCCTTTTTACTTCTCTCAGCCCATCCTTCTCCCCAGACCCTCCGCTGTCTCAGAGGGGTGACATGTTTATTAACAATTTTAGTTCCTCTTCAAAGCCAAACAGACACACGTGACTCACATCTTTAAGTATATAGTTTAGCATTAACTGAAATCTCAGTCCTGAGTTTGGTGGATTTTAATGTAGTTGTCAAAGGTATGAATTCGTGTTTTATAACTGTAGAGGCAAGCAAGTTTTTATTTTTTAAAAAGTTGTAAGAGAATAATTGTAAGTTTCTGTGCAGCAAAGTGGCTAATTACTCATCAAATACAAGAAGAGAATGTAGTATATAAGTGCAGATTTTTCTTACCTCTGGTACACTGCAGATTACTTACCTAATATTGTATTGAGGGGTTTTAACCCTTAAGTTTTACCAATTTTTCTAGTTTTATTTTATTTTTATAAAATAACTGAAAAAGAACCAAAAATGAATTCAGAAGTTCCATAGGTGAGTTTTGCCCCTTTTTAATTTACCCCACAGTAAGACATTTTGAATCAAAATGTATTATGACCATTTAAAGTTTACTATTTTCTAAGAAGCTGAGCAGCTCGCAGGGCCTCGTTTCAGGTGGTGCCCGTGTGCGTCTGTGGCTCCTTTGTACCTGTGCAGTGCAGCTATGTGACGGCGTCTTGTGTTTGCAATATGGAAACCATGCAGTGCTGTTTTGTAAATTGCCAGTTCCTGTATAAACTATTATTTATATACCTTGGCCTCTCTGTATACGTTTTCATTTGCTACATGGATTGTAAAATTAACTATGAAATTATAGTACCTGCTAAATACAATTCTGAGGCTTCATGTCATTGTCTTTAGTTTAATCCCATGCTGTGTGTCTTGAGGATGTCCGATGCTTGCATGATACTAGGTGGTGATGCCACTTTAAATTAAGCCTTAATCAGATGTTAAATTTATAAGTTTCAGAGTATGCAAAAATACTAGGCAGAGTGAGTTTAAACTGTTCAGATCAAGATGCTATATCATAATTCAGCAAGTCTTTTCTTTGGAGTTAAAAAGGGAAGCATTCAGCGATACACCTCCCTCTCCCAGTCCTCCTCTCCTCCCCTCCCCCACTCTTCCCCTTCTCCCCCTCCCCTTGGTCTGTCTTGGCTTTTGCCATTGCTTGGTAAAAGTGGACCGTTGTGCTTTTCTGTGGCAGTCAGTCAAAAAGACCTGTTCTGAAAGTCTTGAGACATTTTCAGGGTTATTTTTAAATGTTTGGGTTTTTTCCCTTCCAGTCTGAGATTTATTATGGCTGATGGAGTGTGCGATTTTGGTGTGGGTCTTATTTGCAAACCTGCTCATGATCTAAGCTTTCTTCAGGTAGTGCCACCTGTCATTGTTTCTGCATATGATTAAAATGGATTTTTGTTTTTGTAAAAGCATCTTAAATTTAGAGATAAAATGGAGGGGACCCAGCTTTCTTCACAATGTGGATCTACCTCAGTTAAACAGTTGGGTGCTATTTACTAAGGCTGTCAAATTAAATTGGAAAAAGTAACCAAACAGTGAGATACAACTCCACATGAAACTTGAAATCGTCATTTCCGTTTATTTAATAATATTTTTATTTATTTTTGTGCCTTTATGTTGAACCCTAATGCATTAAAAAATCAGTACAAAATTAAATGTTTTATATCACAGGTGGAGAGAAAAGCTCAATTGTTCATGGAATTTTATAGGTTTCCCGCCCCCCCAGCCAACTCATATAATGTATTGGAATCCCAACCGCCCTCTTGTGAAGAGAAAAAAAATTTATGTCCAAGAGCAAATTAACATTTTATAAACAATAAATTCCAAACTCTTCTATGCATATATTTATAACTATCACTTCATTTCTGTGCCAGTGAAGGGGCGGCCAAAAAAACTCACAAGTCCTCCTACTGCTTTTCTGCCATTTATGTCCCCTCTTCCTCTGGCACATTTTCTAGGAGTTTATTTCATAAGCAGCGAGTGGACTGTTGTCCATCCCTCTCTCCTTACCCACTGCTGGGTGCTAGTGACCACACACAGAAAGGGAAAGGATGTGGCTGCTGCTGAACACAGAGCCATCCATCTCCACGGGTTAGGAGAACTCGGGCAGGTGAGGAAGGAGACGGGAGGCAGACGACTTCCCAAGCTTTTCTATTTGGCAGTTTACAATTCTAGACTTTTCCTACTATGGCAAGCTTTTTCTTACTTAAGTCTTTGGAGGTAACACAGTATTTTGGAGTCTTAAGAATTTGATTTTATACCAATAAGAAATAAAAATTAGAGATCTTTCCTGTAGTATATAGTTTTACTATTTTAAAGGGATCTCTGAATTTTACAAGAGAACCAACATTCCTTAGTGGCAGAACTTTGAAAGTTGATTTGGGAAGCTTTTAGCTTAAGGATCTCAAAAAAAAAAGGTGATTCTAGTTAAATGTTTTTAATTTTTTAACTTCCATCAGGTTAATACTTGAGCTATATTTTATAAAGCCTAGATCATCCTTTAGTATGCTGCATATAAAGATCAGCATTGTTGCACTTTCTCAGTAATAATAAATGCCCTGCAATTGGCTCGCCAGTAAGCATTTTGTTTTTAACCTAACAAGAGTACTTTGGGGCAAGAGATTACATTTATATAGGTACCTCAAAAAAAAAAAAAAAAAAAAGAACCTGAATATGCTGCATTTTATTTCTTTAGCTTTTACATGTAGCATTTTGTTTTGTTTTTGTTATTTTGTTTAGATATATGCTTTTTGGACCCCAAAAGACTGTTGCAAGAAAATTTAAAGTTAGTTTTGTAAAGATATAGTATCCTTTAAAAAAAAAAAAAACTTACTGCAATATCTGGTTCAAAGGTTGCCCTACATTAAAATAATACTTTACCCAGACACACCTGAGGAAAAGGATAGTATGTTTATAAGCAGACAATAATGTTCTGAATCCGTTCTGTTCATGCTGCTTTCTTAATATGTATCTCCATGTCATCAAGAGGTCGGATAACTTCTTTCTGTGCTCAAAGGTAAAAATCATGGCATCTTTAATTTTTTTTTTTAACCCAGACCTCAGAATATTGCCACTGAGTAAATAGCCTGATGCTAAATGCAGTGCTGAAATTAGGCAGCCCCACTAACTGGTCTTTCCAGAGGGCGGGTCTCCACACACCTTTATTCCTCAGTATTCACTCTAAACTGAACAGATGGGGAGTGGTCTTGATTGACAAGATAAAACTGGTGAAGAAAGCTAAATGCTGAGAGACTGAGCATCTATTGTCATGTTCAAGCTTAGCTGGGTCCTTTCAAGTTTGTTTTTACGGCTTACTAGGTTAAGTAGTTTGCACTATTTTTGCAATAAATTCATGGAAAACCTAACAGTTACTTGTTTTTGTTTCTTACTGTGTGTATATAAACTAATACTAAAAGTTTGGCATAGTGTTTTTTCACCTCCTTACATAACCCCTAACATGCACAGAATGCTGTAAATCTGATAAAATATGATGTGAATGATATTTTATAAAGTTATTTTGTATGGTGTCAATTTTGTTTTGCCTCATAGTATGTCAGCAAAAAATAAAATAAAATTCCTCATATTTACAGCTGCCTCTTCCAAGTCTATTTTATTTATTGGAGCACTTCCTGCAGCACAGGTTGGAGTCCATGTTTCCGAAGTGGAAACGTGCGTTCAGGGACGGAGGTCAGGCCCCATTCTGCAAACAGCAGGGCTGTGAAGGATGTCCTTGACAGAGCTAGGTGTTACTGAGGATTTAGCATGAGTTGGACGGGAGTGAGGACAGTGGGTGTTGCTACTCTTAGCAACCAGGAGGGAAGATGCAGTAAAAAGCCATTCACCTTAGCCGGGCATTGTGGCTGGCGCCTGTAGTCCCAGCTCTTTGGGAGGCTGAGGCAAGAGAAGCAACATAGTGAGACTCCGTCTCAAAAAAAAAAAAAAAAAAGGCCATTCAGCTGAGCCCCTGCCATGTGCAAGGCCCTAAGCTGGCCACACTTAGCCCCTGCTGTGGCTGGGTTTATACATCAGCCTGCTCTGAAATCCCAGAGGGCCTTATTTTGACTGGACTGTTTTTGACTTCCATCTGTAGGGAAAAGGGACAGTTCAATTAAGAAAGCCAAAAAAATTGCAGAAAACCCCTAGAATGTACATTTTTGCTAAAGCAGTCCAAGGTTTTATCTTCACTTAAAAATACTCTCTGACTAGCTCGGCACCCATAGCACAGTATTACGGCACCAGCCACATACACCAAGGTTGGAGGG